CCTCGCCTCGTGGGGCCGTGGGCCTGGTACAGTTTGGGGAGGGTCTGCCCTCATTGCTCTGCTTAGCTAAGAGAAGTGACTTCTCCTCAGGGGAGGAAAGAAGTGACTTTCCTTAGGAAAAGTGGCTTTTCCTTTGTAAAAGACTCCAGACTCTTTTCAGTGGTGCCCAGTGACAGGACAAGGGGCAACGGGCACAAACTGAAGCACAGGAAGTTCCGTCTGAACATGAGGAAGAACTTCTTCACTCTGAGGGTGACGGAGCACTGGAACAGGGGGCCCAGGGAGGTTGTGGAGTCTCCTTCTCTGGAGATATTCAAGACCCGCCTGGACAAGGTCCTGTGCAGCCTGCTGTAGGTGACCCTGCTTTGGCAGGGGGATTGGACTGGGTGACCCACAGAGGTCCCTTCCAACCCCTAACATTTTGTGATTCTGTGTAAAAGGCAGCAGGGAACAAGCCTGGTTTGGTACATGATTTCCTCTGGGGTTTTGCTGTCACTGCTAATCGCCCTTCTCCTCTTGACATTTGCCTTGGGTAACTGCTTTTTGTCAGGACCCCCAACCATCTCATCTTCTAAACGGTGAGCGCTGGTCAAAGAATTCATCTGCCTGGGAAAGCGAGGATATGTGACCATTCATCAATCCTAGAGGATAATTTAAAGCTATGGAGCCATCAACTTGCTTTCACAGCGCCTCAGACCTGGCCCTGCAACGACAAGCCTCTCTGACTCATGGGGTGTAAGATCTAGCTGCCCTTTCCTGATGTCTCAAGTATCCAAACTGTAAAGTTTTATTTTCCGTCGCATCACCTTGCTGCAGTCTTCACGCGACTGGCCCGAAACAGTCCTGTGCCCCCTGATCCAGTACTGCAGACTGGTCTGTTGCCCCCACTCAGGGTGAGAGACTGCTTAACTCAGCTCAGAGACTGCTGTGGTATCCCCGAAGCAATCTGCTCTTGCTCTTCCTTCCCATGTGGGGAAAGGCTACCTCTCCTCAGCACTTCAAAAGTTCATTTATTGAGCTCATTGAATAAGCATAGCGCAAAGCCTGCAACACAAACTTTCCCTAACAGAATGCAGTCCTTGCTAGCAGTAACCAGGCATACCTAAAGCACATGGTGTTCCCCACAATCATCAAGCAAGAACAGCCCTCTGCTTCAAGGTAGTCTTGTTTCACTTTGAACAAAATCCTACCGCATTTCTAATATGAGACTCTCCAGAGGAGAGAAGGCAGAGCTTTTTCTGATGTAGGGCAGCTGCTCCAACTCACTGATTTGTGTGGGACACCCAGAAACCTGCCCAATGGTGCTTTGTTACAGATGCTGTAACACAGACTGTTAAAAGCAGCTGCAACATGACATTCGCACCTCAAAGCTTCTACCGAGAGCCAGGGCAGTGTAGGGAGCAGGCTGGTGAAACACACGTCAGGAGACAAACTCTTCTCTGAACAAATGACAAACTAAACATGCCAGGCAGACATTATCTGGCGTTATTTTGATGTTTAACTGGAGGACAACCGAAGTAGAGTGAAGAAAGGTTTTCCACAGGAACACATGTAATGAATTTTGTTGCACGTACCTGGGTCTTTAGTTAATGTACACTCATGCAGCTCTTGTGAATTAGATGCAAGATGCAAGCTCACTTTCACCTGAAAAAGAAGTGGAAGGAACAAAACCTATGTCTTCAGGCACTGTTACTGACTGTTGCTACCCTGAGGTACCCGACTTCAGCTGCGCATTCTTCAGCAAGAATGGGTAGCTCACAAGGAACTGATGCTACTGCCTCATGTGCATGCGAAGAGGGTGAAATTCACCCTTAAGCAGAAAGGACTGGGTGTGACATCTCACTTAAGGCTTCAGAAGACACTTTAGCTGATACATAGGTGTCATGAATGAATTGCACCCCAAGACAGCAGTGTATCCGTATCAAATTCTTGATCTAATGACTTCATTCCTCTAAAGGAACCCCAAAACCCAAGAGGTCAAGAAGCAGCTTTTGTTCTTGGGTACATGTAGCTATGAGTATTAGAACATGATGACAAATCTAAATCCTGATGAAAAACTGCCAGAGACCCATAAAGCTGCCAAAGTACAGTAGGCTGGCTTTCACATAATTGCAAGTGTTCCTTTCTCAAATGCCCAAACTGATTGACCAATTAAAGTGTTTAATTCTCTGAGAAAGAGTCTGTCATTAACTGTAATCTGTTCTAGTCTCACCGGTCCTTTCATGGCTGCCTCTGGTGAAAGAATCATTACGTATGATCTCAATCTCCATATTCTAATGAGGAATTTTTGATAGTTTGCTATAAATAGGAATTGATTCATAAGGAGAATAATTAATTCATTGCCAGTCCTTTACCAACTACTTAATGACTGTCAAGATACATTAAACATCCTTAGCCCTACACTGGGGCCTGAGCTTATTCTTGGCTAACATATCTGACTGTACTCTTCACTCATGCATTAATGCTAAGTGAAAAATTGTCTCAGTGACTATGAATATATTTTAGAGTGCTTTATTTCATCATAAATATTGACACTGATCATCATAAATGCCTTCCAAAAGAGGTGATCATATTGACTAGATAATCTATCATCATTAAAAAGAAAAAGAAAAAAAAACACAACGAAAAAAAGAATCAAAAGCCCAACCCAGTCCAGTATATCGTATTCTCAACACACTGTCCTGATTATTTTCACCCGAAAGAGCTTGTCACTGTGCTAGGCCCTGTACAAGTTAAATGCACTTTTTAAGCTGTACTACTTGTTAGCTGATTAGCAAGATAGTATAAATCCATCTGTATCTTTACTTTTGTGAGACCCCACTTTCATGCCATGTCTATGCATCAGTGTTATTACCAAAGTGTATTGACCACCACATTTAACTTCAGAATACAGCAGGCGTTGCTTGAGGGTCACAGATCACGTCCGCTGCTCTTGCCCAGCCTCTCCTTGCAGAACCAGGTGCGAAGACTGAGCCCGGGTTCTGAGAGGATGCACAAGCTCCTTGACCTTCTGTACTATCCAGGTGCTCCCTTATGGCAGGCTCATGGGTGCTCAGGGAAAGGTGCTGCAAAGGTGTGAAAAGAAAAGCCTAAGATCTGGCCATTGCGACAGGGAGAGCCAAAGGGACAGGGAAAATGTTGTTGGAGGTTGTGTGTCTCTTACACCAGTGTTCATTTCCAGCTCTTGCGTTTACAAGGCCCATGGAGGAGTATCTGTTATGATACAAGAACATAAATCTGTAGTATGTATTTTTAAAGAAAACCAAGTAGAGCTAGGCAATATGGTCTACAGGGAATGTCTGTGATGTACAATTACACCACAGAACATTAGCCTGCATAATGTATATCGGTACTAGGAACAACCTGGAGGCTTCTCTGTGATTCTTTCTGAAGTCAGCATGAGACCTCATTATTTGTTTTACTCACTGGGTACATACAGTGTGTTAATTCAATAGCGTGTTGCCAGGGAGCACAGGGAGGATGGATGACTACAGTCCAGATTACAGTCTCTCAATACACCTCCAGGATTACTAGGTCGCTATGTTTTCTTTTTCCTTTTTCCAATCACTTTAAATAGGCCAAGAAAGCACAGAAGAATGATAAAGTTTGTGGATACCTTCAAAGACATTTCCTAAGAGAAAAGGGAACACACCCAAACTTTAGACTCTGGACCAAATAGGAAGATAGAGCTAGCTAAAGAAGTCATCCTTGGAAAGAAGATGCAGCAACAATTTTCTGAAGGAGCTAAGGGACTTAGGCACAAGTTACTGAAAACAGTTTGGTATTTTCCAGTGGAAGCAGCCAGACAATCTCGCCAGGAAACTTTGCTTGGACCATTCCTATCTCTTCTCGCAGGAGCAGTGCCAGCTCTATCTGACCTGTCTCCTATCTGCTCACACCCAGCAGGGTACCCTGAACGCACCTCTGACCTGTGCCTCCTTTGCTGGGAGCCAACCATTTCCCAGTTCCTAACAAGACGCAGTGGAAGTTGGTTCCTCACGTTTCTTCTAAGGTCCCACCTCATCAGGTAATAACAGCATCACATCTGAGCAAAGAACCAGATGTCTGTTTGTGGCTTCTGTATACTGATACTAATCCCTGCAATAAATTTTCTGCTGTAGTACCTAGTCTCCCACTGATCTGACCAACATAAAATTAAACTTCTCCTTGCAATTTTTAATGAAATTCATC